ATCGATATGACACATAATTACCGCATCTAGCGGCAGCAAAGATTATTGTGACACAGATCACAGAGCAACAAAATAGCAGTATTGAAATTCTGTTTAGACGCTAGAGGATCTAGAGTTCTGTTTGTGGGCTAAAAAAAACTGGGCAAGTGTGTCTATAATAATTATAAAAAAAATAAAAAAATAAAAAAAATAATAATATTAATTACAATAACAATGATAAGATGGCCATACAAATTGTTAGGCTTTAGATTACTCACCAGCGCTGCGGCCTGGTCGATTTTCAAAGATGGCGTCACCTTAACAGAGCCGATGGCCGCATAGTGCTGATCGAGGTTTAGCTGTTTCTTACGCTTGGAGTGAACAACGAAGCGCGTGAGAAAGATGGCGACCACGACGATGAGAGCACAGGTGAGTCCTAGCACTATCCCAAGTGCTGTCACAGACAACGCCATGTCGACAACGTGCTGCTGTGTCTACTTGTGTGCTCAGCTGCAGCTCTACGTAAACGAAAAAAATTCAGAAAAAAAATCGTAGATGCATTAAGTTTATCACGTCGTGACAAAGGCCAGAAGGCTCAATCGTAATTGGAAATGTTAAGAGCTTCGGTGACCAATCACATTATGTGTTACTTTTCGATGATCATATCTGACCAGAATACGAATTTCATTCGTTAGTTATTCTCGGACTTCGGTATTCTTCGAACTTTGATTTTTGAATTACTAACGAGTTTTCTGCGCATTATAAAATTCAACCAGAACGCATTATATATGCTACGCGTGAGACATGGCGCCTTTTCTCATCATTGCAACACACACACAGCTAGGTGTTAGCCGTCATTAGCTATACGCTACATGTTCTAGCATTTCTCCCTGGTTAAGAACCAGAAAAAATTCTAGATACGATATGCATATAGCTAATGACCTGCATGCGTTTGTGACATATACGCCCGCGCGTATATCTGTACAAGTGGTTGATATGACGGTGTTTTGTTCTGTATCAAACCTACTTTTTCGCTCATGAATGGTTTCGTCGTTCATTAAAACAAGCCCACATACGAGCAGCAGTGTCTTGTAAAGTATTTACATGAGCGTGAATTCACTCTGTGTAAAACGGAAATAAACTCGCGCACCGTTGATGATAATAAAGAAATGGTAAAGATACCGCAGTACAGATAACATCAGATGGTCTTAAGGCATAATGAATGGCATATTTTCGTGTGATCGGTATGTTAGCCAGTTGCGCATATTATTCAGTTCCGGATATTTGCATGCAGTGTAGGCCAGCAGCGCGTAATTGTACGAGGAAGCCGTAGAACGCAGTAACGTGGAGGCTACGAGATTGTTGGCGCAAAGCAGAGACTGTTGCTAAGCAACTGTATAGATGCTTCGGTGCGACATTTATCTGTGCGTCGAGCATTAGTAGCGACAAGAACATGAAATCACGCCGCCATTTAAACACGTTATTGTCCAGCGCAGCGGCAGCTGCTTCACAAACGCTGCGCGCGCGCACCTAACTACACTCATACACAAACACCCACGCAGCATATCCACACATACACACATATACACACACACACACACAACACACACACACACACACACACACACACACACACACACACACACACGCGCGCGCGCGCGCGCGCGCGAGAG